CCGACATTTATTTATTTATTTTCGTTTTTCTCTTCAAAAATTATTTATAAGCACTGTTTTCTGTGGGGCTAAACTACTTTTATTAGTTTGTCTTTTAAATAACATAAGAATGGATAAATATCCATTCATTGCTTAGACATTGTCACATTAGTGGAGTGGACCACTAATAAGAGAAAGAAGCTGAAATCACTGCCTGCTTCTCACTTTTTTATTAAATTCCTTTGAGCTGGATGTTTTGTTGAACGCATTTTCGAGATGTTTTCTTAACTTATTCGTACAATACTAAAATTGCTACTTTTTTATTAACATGCTAGAAATTAGTTTATAAAACATATTTTTAAAATGTAAATTTAAAAATAATATATATATATATATATGCAGAAAAGTAAACTAGATTTGAAAATATATAATATAAGTTTTAATGTTAATATTGTTAATTATATTTATATATTTATATAATTTTTTTTATATAGTGTGATATAATTATATTAATTAATTGGTTGTAAAATGTGTATATTTTAAAAGTTGAATCACAAAACAATTATCACATTATTTATTCACATCAATGACCAACTATCACATTAGTAGTTAACTAAGAGAATGATAAAATATGTTAATTTTTTAAAGTTTGGTTGCAAAGTAAGGTATATATGCCTTTACGAGAGTGACACAATTAGTTAAGTCTCTTTATTTTTATTAGATAAGACTTAGAATCAAATTCAACCTTTCTCGTATTTTATATCCTTTCATATGATCTAACATTAGGAATGCAACATACAACTCGTAAAATATATTTTACACGAGATCGTATTTTATCTTAATCTAAACTTTTATTTAAAGAAAATGTCATATATTACATATTTATATATGATTTAATTTTATGTTTAGTTATTCAAATTTAGAGCATATATTTTTTTGTCATTCAAATTTAAAACTTTTGTCTTTAGTCATTAAAATATAAAAATTATTATTTTAGTCTTTTAAATTTAGGATAATTTTTTTAATTTCTTAAATTTAAAATTATCTTTTTAAATTCTATAATTTTTAAAAATATCATTTTAATTCCTCAAGAGTCAAGGATAGTAATAACATAGTTAATTGTGACAAATTAACTTAAATATATAATATCAATTGGTTTAATATGATATTTTTTCTAATAAAAATACTAGTAGAAGAATTATGTACAAAAGGTTTAATAAGTATATTTTATTTAACAAATTTAATAATTGACATTTGAGAATAAGAACTAATATATATATATATTTTGAGAGCTAAAAGCACAAAATTAAATTTAAAGACAAAAAACATATAAAAAACTAAAATGATATTTCCGAAATTACAATAACTAAAAGAATAAATTTTATATATATATTCCAAAATTTTAAAAATATATGTAACCCATTCTATGTGCATCATTTCCCCCTCTCGACAATGACTGTCAAATTTTAAAAGCATTTTATACCTGGAATCAATCATACGGTGTGCATTTTCTTTTAATGGATCACAATCTTATTGGAGAAATTAACCATACAGTATAACAAATAGTACGACAGAGGTCAATCTGTATTGAACCAAATCTTTAATTAAAATTTACATTCGTGTTAACTTAATTTTAATCTGTTACCAAATTTTAATGCACACACAATATGCTTCGTGCGAAACAATTTTTTATAATAGCTTTATTTTGTTTCTTTTAAATATTGCATGAGTTAAAGTTTGTTATAAAATTATTAAATTTAGCTCTAACCTATTTGAAAATATGATCCAACCTAAAAAACCATTTACGTGATTTGTTTTATACAATACTTATAAATAAATTAACATCTAAGTACGTAAGTTTATAAACCTAAATACTAAATAAAAAATATTATTATTATTAATATTTATATACGTTAAATATAAATATTAATTATTAAATGATATATAATATTATTTTGTTTTTGACAAATAAATAAAGTCATGCTTTAAACATGTGAAATTGTATATATGTGACAACTTATCTCTGACTATTTCTATCTTCACACACACACATACATATATATATAATCAATTGATTCTTCTAAAATACAAAATTTGATTAAATTATGATATTTAGTTGTTGTACTTCTTATTAATCAATTTTACTAAATCAATTAAATAAATATAATGTTGCTAATAATTTTGTAAATGTATAAATCTAATATGAATCATTAAAATTAATTTAGTGATGAAAGATTGAAATAGTATACATAAAATTTAGGTTCAAATTTTAATACCATTATTATAATTTTAATGAATAAACAAAAAATAAATCAAATATGTAATATTTTATAATTATTTCATTTTTTTACATTCAAAAGTTTCAAACCAAAATCTTTACAATAATATTTCTCTTCACTTAACCAACTAAAAAATATTAATAAAAATAATAATAAAAACCTGCTTTATTTCTTTCATATTTATCTCTTCTTTCTTTCTTCCACACGTGTCTCTCTTTACTTTATCTCTTTTTTCGTTATCAAATGTAGCATAAATTTCCCGCTACTAGATTAATTTATGATAGTAAAATTATAATTCAAAATTTACTATCTAATTATCTAATTACCTTTCATTTTCACAATGTGACGTCATTTAGATAAATGGTTTTTCTAAGAAACTCAAACATTTTTCTGATTTTAATTTATTTTACTTTTATACACGAGAAACATCTTTTTAAATTAAAAAAGCTTAACTCAAAACAACTGCATAAAAATTCACGAGTGTAAAAAAAGGGTATATTTATGTCATACAAATCATGTATCTATATCACACAATCATATATGAATAATCGATATTTAATGTTACATAAATACTTAAAAAAAGTCATTTAATTTAAAAAAAAACACTCACATCATTTATTGTCAATCTTTTTTCATCGTTTGTATATTTTAATCATATCATTCATAACAAAATCTACTGATTAATATTTATTCTTTGTACTCTTGTATAAAAAATGTCTTTTTATAAAATACATAGTACTATATATATATATATATATAAATATATATAAGAATTTTTTTTAATTACAGTTCATTAAATGTGGTTAATATTGTTCTTCAATCATAATTGAATTTTTACTTTAATAATATTGTAAACGTATATTAATAAAATTTATATTAAATATAAGTATTACTACCAAAATAAAACTCTAATTGCGATTGGAAGACAACACTAACGACATATAAAAAATTATACCCAAGTTTTGTTTTATATATAAAGAGAGATGGAGATGCATATCAAATTAGTGTATGGGGGAAGGAATTTTATCGAAAAGAAAGGGAAGTAAGGGGAGCAGAGTGTAGGAGAAGACTTACTAATTTAGTTTAGTTGAGACTAGAAAAAAGGAGGGGAGATAACTTTTCTTTGTTACTTAATTTATAATAAATGGTATGAACTTTAAAAACTAATTTATATGTGGACCGTTACAATTTTGAATTTAAAAATAAAAGTAAAAATAATTTAGATGTTATATTAAAAACATTTTAGAACATCTCTTTTTCACATTTTCCAATATTTGAAAGGGGGTAAAATTAGATGAAGATGCCTCTATCAATTTTTTTTCTCAAAATTTGAATCAAACAATAAAAATTTACAAAAATAAGTACACATCTTCTCTATTTCTCTCAAATTTCTCTCAAATCAAATAGTAATATATAAAAATAATTTTTAATAAAATTATCCTATTTAATAAATATTAATATGAATTAAATTTTACCAATCTAATCATTAAATATTTTGATATTATCTAAATATATCATGCATACTAAATTTTGGATAAACTTAATATTTATAACAAATTATCTACTAGTAAATATTTACTTATGTTTTAGAATATTATATTACACATTAATTTGAGTTTATATAATAAAGCATAAAATAGATTCATCAAAAAATAAAATATAAAATAGTAATGAATTATAAAACTTTTATCTAAATAAAATATCAAGTTACTGTCTAAAGTAATTATTCAACGAGCATTTGGTAAAGAAACTTTTAGCTTTTTAGAAATTTGAAGTTAAATTATTTATTCCACGTGTTTAATTTATTATTTAAAACTAACAATATTAAAAAATGTATTGTTTTTCGAAAAAAAAAATTTATCCATATTTTCCATCAAATTATTCCTATAAAGGTGATACGAATCTAACTTTTTTAAAGAGTATTTACTATATAGAGAGATACGAGATTCGAATCCATTTTTTTAAAGAAAAAAAACTTGTAACGTTTTTAGTTCGAAAATATAAAACATACAGTATACTTTATTTTCTGGTAAATTAGGATGAGGAAAGAGGAAGATAATTTTTTAATATAAATATAATATATTATAAGTTAAATTACACCTTTACTTTTTTTCTTTTTTTTTAATTTTTCTCATGAAAAAAAATAAATATAATTAATGTCATTCTTTAATCATAATTAGAAATTTCTTTCGATAATATATGTAAAAATATTTTAATAAAATTTATATTAAATACAAGTAAATATTATTAAAATAAAACTTTAATTTTAATTTAAAAAAACAACAATCATACCTTAAAAAGCTTTCCGAAGTTTTATCATTTTTTCAATATGTAATTTTATTCCCATATTTAAACATATTAAGTAATGAAACGTGGTATAAAAAAAAGTAGTGAGACCTTATTAGTAGGTGTTTACATTTAGGGGTTAATGTTTAAACTTGGCTGATAATGAATATTAAATTAATAGCAATTTCAAAATAACAAAATTTTAAAATTAAGAAGAGCAATGTATCTATTTTATAATAAAGATGAAAATGAATTACTTGATACAGTGGAGTATTTACTGTTTAGATAATATATATAGAAATATAAGTTGGAAGTTGGAAGGGTTTAATTGAATATAAAAAATATAGAAATAAAAGAATAGAAAAAGTAAAAGTATTTAATAATAAAGGTTTTAACTTTTGAGTTTCACTTCACCCAGGCAGCCCTGTTAAGTGTTAACGAACACTCACTCTCTCCAATTCTTTCTCTTTCCACATTTGCCAACGCACTCTCTCGCTATAAATATCGTGCAGACAGTCATATCCTCACCCTCTCCTCTTTCTTTCTCCTTCTTACTCACATACAATGTCGGCTTACAAAGACCAGGATCCTCGTCTTCATGGTATCAAAACTAAGATTCGTGTCGTCCCCGATTTTCCCAAATCCGGTTCGTTTTCTCCATCTTTTTTTTTTCTTTCCCCGCTTCTGTTTTTTTTTTAATGTTTTGTTTTTCGACTACGAACCACCCCACCCATAGGATATCACCGTCCGACATAAACTCCTTCTCCATGTTTTTTTTTTAACTATGTTTTATTGTTGGACTAAGAAACCAGGCCACATCGGTATCCACGAGGCTTTCAATTCATGCTTTGTCTTCTCTCTATTTCGGCCTTCTGTTTAGTACTTAATGGTTTTGTTGCAAATCGCAATGGCAGGTATTATGTTCCAAGACATAACTACTTTGTTGCTCGACCCCAAAGCATTTAAGGACACAATCGATTTGTTCGTTGAGCGATACAAGGGCAAAAACATTTCTGTTGTTGCAGGTAAATGATAGGGGAAAGACACGTTCTTGGTCTTCTTGAGCCGGAAAAAAATGGATGAACATTCAACAAGTTGTTTTTTTTTTCTTCTTCTGTGGGGTTTAGCTTGAAGGTGGTGGTGGGGTCCACGGTGACGAGAAAGTTGGGCAGAGTATGCAGTAATGCCCTATATTGCATAAATTTCTGGTTGTCTTTATGAAAGCTTTTAACGGACATTATGGAATGGAAGTCACTGTGTGTTTTGGGAGTGATTTATTATTGTTTGACTATGTGGCCTTGTTAGTGGGTTGTGCCATTGATTGCCATTGTGAAATCAAATCTCAAGTTCTCTTCTTCGTGGATCCAATTTGCATGGAGCAGTACCACCATTGGTGATCGCTTCCAACTTGTGCAAAGTGGACCCGCATGACGCATATTTCAACTCCCTAATTTTTATATTTTGCTCCATTATATTATCTATGATTTGTGGGTTCCTCCATTTCACTGTTCCTTTTTTTTTAAATCTACTTTTTTGTCATTCCTGTGTTACTTTCTTATTCCAAGTTACTAAACCCTGTAAAACTTGAATGTCACTGGTACCTGCAAGTGACGAGCTACTAGTAGTAGTTCTGTACTATACACTGTGCATCGTGGTTGGTTTTTCCACTTTTGTACCCTGTATGTGTGTGTCGTCCTGTTGTAGCTTTTTTTTTTTTTTTTCTGCTATTCACTTTTTTCCCGACAGGACCGGATATGCTGGAGGGTTTAGTGTGATATGTTGCGGAGGATGTGGCATGGAAGCCATGAAACTGGAGCTATTATCTATTGAGTTTTGTCTAAGTTAGTACTACTATTTTGGGTGTAGTTGTATTGCATGTAGTGTTTTTTTGTTTTTATGTCCATTGAACAAATGTTGATTAGAGGCCCCATTTTACACTGTCCGATTTCTGTACAATTTAAGGGTAAATTTGAAACTGAATTGCTGGTAGGTCCTTTGCACCGGTTTTTAGTTCTCTATGCATGATTATAAAATGAAACAGAACACAATTGGATTGGGTGTGATTTGTCTTTTTTGCACGTGCTTTAGGAATTGTCTGTCTGTGTATATTTGGGTCTTTTTCTGTTATATATTTATATCTTTTGTGAGACATTCCCAGAAGCATCTCTTCAATTATAGAGCCCAGTATAGTATGAGATATAGAGTTTGTCCTTGTGTATAATAATTATCCTGTATTACCATTCGGTATTATTGCTGATTGGCTACTGATTGATAGGTCCCTTGGCAATTGGCATCATTACATTTTAAATCCATTGCTATTGTTTTGGATTTTGGGGCGATTGCTTCTCTTTACATCTATAAGAGAATAGGATATTTCTGATGAGTCCCTCCACTGTTTTTATTTTTTATTTTTGTTGTTGAAGTAAGCTTGAATATGCTTGCATTTTCGTTTACTAGACATGGCGTTAGTTACTTGTCATAGGCAACCTATGGCTTATGGCAACATGGTCTGGTATCCTGCATATAGCTAATTTTCAATCTATATCCATTTCTTGTTTCTGCTCATTGACTTTTATTAGCATATCCTTAGTGGTATTGTACGGTTTACATTAGAATTTTTGGTTAATTCCTTACATCATTGATGGTTTCTACTCTCCATGCATTATGTAACATTTGAAAGCGGATTATAGAGAAATGATAAAAAAAAATTCTAATTTTATTTGACCCTTAGTTTCTTTCGTGTTTAGCAAGTAGTAGCAGTGTCACTAATACACTGTTTCTTGATGGTGGTCTTGAACTAGATATCATCTACAATAGCACATGTGTAATTGCCCATAATCTTGTGTTTTGATAAATGAATTTTATGTAGGAATCGAAGCCCGAGGTTTTATTTTTGGTCCTCCCATTGCACTGGCTATAGGAGCAAAGTTTGTACCATTGAGGAAACCAAAGAAGTTGCCTGGTATAATTGAGCACCGATTTTTTTATTATTTATTTATTTATTTATTTTAAACCACTTTCATTGATATGCTTTCATAACTCTTATAATGTTATGAATCATATGTTCTTGGCAGGAGCCAGGAGGTTGCCTTTTTATATTTATTTAGTACTTAAATCTATTGCATTCCTAATGCTCAAATTTTTTTACATTCTGCAATTGATTCATAATGTTTCACCCACTTGCAGCATATAAAATGTGCAGTATACTTAAGAAAGCATTTCTTGAGATATGTCCTTGTTTTTTGCATTTCAGCCTTGCAAATCTAGGTGGTATATAACTCTAGAGTTATGCAGTTTCTGTTACCTAAATATGTGATGCTTACCTCCTGATGATTTGTATACAGTGAATCAATATGATATTTTCCCACTACAAAGTGCTGTCTACAAATTATTGATAAGCAATAAGTGTGCAGTCTTTGAGAACAATTATTTCCTCCACCTTTGCTTAGTCCTTTTAGCCTCTTAAGTCTTGAGTACCCTTTTCTCATTCTTTATCTTTTCTTTTTTATATAACCCAACTTTTCAAGCACTTGTAAGCCCTCCAGGTTCATCTATTAATTGGAGTGCGTATTGTTGCCTTTCGTTATGAATTTTTTTATTTATAATAAAGTGAAATCAAGACTAAATTGGAACAAATTTTGAAATAGCGCTTCAATAAACCTTGAAATATTGATTATAAATTGCTAGGCTTTATCAAGGTCTAAACTTTGGTTGAGATTGTTACTTTAGCATACTTTTTTTCTTTTCATTTTCTTGTAACAAAATCTTACCTCAAAGGCCAATGCCAGGAAAAGTTATTTCTCAAGAATATATTCTGGAATATGGAAGGGACTGTCTTGAGATGCATGTTGGAGCAGTTGAACCTGGTGAGCGTGCTTTAGTGGTTGATGATTTGATTGCAACTGGTGGAACCCTCTGTGCAGCTATGGATTTGCTAGGTAAAGTCCCCCGTGAGAAAATTTTGTCATAAATGGACATTTATTGTACCATTAATGGACATTTATTATATCAGAATAATAGAATATGATATTGTTTTACATGTCGATGATCCATCAATTTTTTCAACTCTGTTACTGAAGGTTGCTCAGGTCCCGAGATGATCTTCCGAGTTCATATGTTCAAATCTAGCTCTTGTCAGCAGGGATATGTTTCCCTGAAATCGATTTTTATTTAGCATTCTAGAATGAACGGTAAAACTTAAGGATACATGGTGTTTGGGATCCACGTTTTCTCCTATTTTCATGTTATAACGCAACAAAAGCAACTAATAGTTGCTTCTCAAAATCACGTTCAAGTTTTCAAACGTAAAAGTAAACAGTCACGTGCAAATTAGAACTAGTTGGCTACTATTTTATAAGGTTAATTTTAGTGTGCATTGCATTCATGATTCATGCTTTTACTCCAATCATTAGTGTGTGGACAAGTTGAATTTCTTGTCTCTGTTCCACTTTTTTGTTGATTTATTTAAATAACAGTTGAGTTTAAATGTTTGTTTGTTTCCTCGCTGTTAATGTGATTTTTGGATTTGATGTGTTTGCTGTCATTTAGAACGTGTGGGAGCAGAAGTAGTGGAGTGTGCATGTGTAATTGAATTACCAGAATTGAAGGTATGTATACTTTGGATTTTGTGAATATTTTGTTTGAGGATGGATCCTCTCATATACTTGTCAGGTCACGTTCAAATCTTGTATCTATATCTCTCCTAATAAATAGCAGATAGGACTCACTCACCAATAGGAGAGAGAGAGAGAGAGATAGACACAACATTTGAATATGACCTTTGTCACATTTCTGTTTTCTATAGACCACTCGTTGCTAGCTGCAACCCTACTTTGGGATGATGGTAGGTTTGATTTCCATTTAATTTTGTTTGGTTGCCTAGGTAACAGAAATATGGGGTGCACTTTATTTTAATTGTGTATTCGTCAGTTATATGTTGTAACATGTTTCACTAATTTTGGTTCAGCTTCAAAGGGGTTGTGTATATGATTGATTACTAAGGCATATGGTTTTGTTGAATGACTTTTTACTAATACGTGACAGGGTCGTGAACGTTTGAACGGGAAGCCGTTGTACGTGTTGGTGGAATATATTGAGATATGAAGTGGTGAAGAATATTAAGATGTAGATTTGGGAATGTGTCTTTACTTTCCCATTTGGATTCCCATCTTAGCATGTAGTAGGAACGATCGATCAAATCAAATTAATGCATTTGTATGACCCACTCTCTGGGTCTCGTCTCGTCTTCTCATATCTGTGCTTCTCTATCCTTTTTCAAATAAAATTATATCTTTGGCTACTTGTACATATTCTGCATGACCACCACCAAAATGACACAACCCATTCTCAGCTTTTTCATGCTTTATTTTCACAACTAAACTTCATATTTTTAACTCTGGTATATCAGTAATATTACAAAATGTAAATAAATTTACTAATATATCATACTTTGAAATATATTTATCAAAGTCTTATATTTATTATTTATATCGAGAAATTACTCTTTTATCAACCAATTTTTCATTTTTTAATTTTTATATTAAGAAATTGATTAATTAGTTACTAATTTCTTTACCATAGTTTGTTTTACAATTTCTTTTTTGTAATATTATTTTTATTTCATATATATTTTCTATTTAGCTTATTAGCTTAGATTTAGTTAATATATAAATGAATTCATAATTTTTATTTTATAAATTAAAAGTTTTGTAAGAAAAATTTATAAATAATTTTAAAACACATCAATTTATTAAGCAATGCAAATTAAAAACTACATATATATATATATA